AGAGAACTGTGGAGAAATAAAGCACATGTGGTTGGAAGGAAGAGGAAAGATTTGATGGACACAGTAGCTCTTAGGAACGAAAGAGTTGAAATAGGCAGAAATAAAGGAGAAAGGCATTCCAAACAAAGGGGAAAAAACAGTATGCACACAGGTATAAGGGTAGGAAAGGTTATGGGCTACTTATAAAATAGCAAGTGGTTTAGGGATCATGCGGGAAGGAAATGTTGGATTGAGATGGGAAAGTTAGGCTGGGACCAGGTTGTAGGGAGCCTTGCCTGCCACGGTAGGGCGGTTAAAGAACATCTTACAGGTTGTGGGTGGGGGAGCACTTGCTTGTAGATACCAAAATACTCTACTCCCATCAAAACTTTTAGCTTTTCTAATCCACAACTGAAAAGATGCTAATTCTAGTCTATTTGCAGAAGTGGAGATTTGCTCATGAGTCTAAAACACGTGGTGAACTCTTGATAAGTCTTCAACCTCGTCCTATCAGTAGTTTTGAGAGTTTCAAACTGTGTTCACTGGAACCTTGGAATTCTGCAGAGGTTTACCTGGATTCCATAGGAGTATTTTTTCTGATAGAGTAAATCTCTAGCTTTTTTGTGTGAAGGCACAGATTTATTTATTGATTGATTATAGTTTAAGGTGGTGAGAGACTATTGGTTTTAATTATGACTCCTTTCTGATCAATTACCATTCATTCAATGGTTACTGCGTGCTGCTATGTTAAGGTTACAGTGGTGAGTAAAATGAAGAGATTTAAAGTCTATTATGGATTTTCTCGAGTCTAGTAATAAATTACAATACAAAATAGTCCACAAATTGCACTTTTACGATCTTAGGCAGTGTTGCGGAAATCGTCAGTGTCCACCTAAACCCATCCTCCCCTTTCTTCCCTGGTCTTACAACTGTAGTTGATCTTAGCTACACTACATTTCCCAGCCTCCCTTGCAGTTAGGTTTGGTCATGTGACATTCTTCTTTCCAATAGAACGTGAGCTGGATGGATATGTGCCATTTCTCTATCTGAGACGTAAGACATTAATTAGATAAGCCTCCTCCAAGGTCTCTTTCTCCCTCCCTCTGGCTGGAACCTGGATATGGCTGAGACCCATCTTCACACATTCAGATGATGATAGTACCCTAGAGGATGGCAGAGCTAGAACTTAGAGGGAACCTTGATCCCTATGTGACTTCAAGGAGGAAGAAAGCCCAATCAGTTTGGAACATTCTTCTCAGAACTGTTATGGAAAGAGAAACAAAGGCCTATATTCTTGAGGCCACTCCCTCTTTTGGTCTTTTTGTTATAGCAGCTTGGCTTAACCTTAATAACATTGAAATTAGTACCATAGGTGTGGGGCTGCCGTAACCCAAACCTAAATTGCATAGACCTGGCTTAGCAGTCAGATGGCAGATGGTGAGGAAAGAGATATTTCAGGCTAGAAAGCTGGTGACCTTTGTTATACCATGGCAAAATATTTGGTAACACTGTCTCTTCTTATAATTTGAAGACAGACTATGAAATTACCAAAACTATAGCTCTGGAGGAACAAGTTGGAAAGAGCCAGCATGTTAATGTGTAATGTCTTTGCTTTTAGCAAGATATTATGAGAAAGAGATGATTTTAAGCCAGCATTCAAGCAGAGATAGAAGAGAACAGAGAATGCCCAGAAATTTGAAGCCTCAAAAGTTGGAAAAGTAGCTGCTTCAGGAGATAAAATTGTAGTTGCTCAAAGACTTTGGCAAAGATAAAAGTAAAAGTGCTTCCTTCTCACCTGTATGCCTTTTTTCAGATGACTCCAGGGTAGTCACTCTTAAAGGAGAGAGGGAGAGGGGGGGAAAGAGAGAGAGAGAGATAGAAGAGAGAAACTTGGAAAAAGTAGGCTCAAAAACTATGCCTGGGGCCGGCCTGGTGGCACAGCGGTTAAGTTCGCGTATTCTGCTTCTCGGTGGCCCAGGGTTCCCTGGTTCGGATCCTAGGTGCGGACATGGCATCACTTGGCAAGCCATGCTGTGGTAGGTGTCTCACGTATAAAGTAGAGGAAGATGGGCATGGATGTTAGCTCAGGGCCAGTCTTCCTCAGCAAAAAGAAGAGGATTGGCAGTAGTTAGCTCAGGGCTAATCATCCTCAAAAAAAAAAAAAGAAAGAAAGAAAGAAAGAAACTACGCCTAAAAAATTCTTTAGATGGGGCTGGCCCCGTGGCCAAGTGGTTAAGTTCGTGTGCTCCGCTGCAAGTGGCCCAGTGTTTCGTTGGTTCGAATCCTGGGTGCGGACATGGCACTGCTCATCAAACCACGCTGAGGCAGTGTCCCACATGCCACAACTAGAAGGACCCACAACGAAGAATATACAACTACGTACTGGGGGGCTTTGGGGAGAAAAAGGAAAAAATAAAATCTTTAAAAAAAAAATGCTTTAGGTGTGGTCACTGTCACATTGGACTAGCTAGAAGCAACTAAGCTTACTAAATTTAAGGTATTGTCAAAGAAACCCTGAGCTCCGCCTGTCATAGCCAAGGGCCAAAAGCCAAGTGCCAGTGCCAGCCTTAAGGCAAGACTCAGGCTCCCAAATCTGAACGAGCAGGGCGTAGCTGTGAAAGGTGTTCAGCCACCAATAAGGGCATATTCCCAACATTCAATTTAGATATGGCTATGGAGGATGAAGGACAAGGAAGGACTTTTTAGAGGGTGAAGCTAGAGACCATGTAGGAAGATAAGTAAGTTTTTCTTGGTGAATATATCCAGGAATCTACCAGAGAATTTCCTCCATGTCAGCAAAGGGGGGATTTTCATTTTTTCCCAGTAGGATTTAATCATTGCTGTCAGCCAGTGGCTGCTCTGTGTTTTCCATGCTATGGTGGTTATCCTGGTTCTGCTCCACCACTGTATATGGGAGGTGGAAGAGATAACATGTCTTTTAGTTTATAGGTTGCCAGACCAAGAAAAACCAAATCTGATCCTGAGAGGACTGTGCCTCTCGCAGAGATCCTGGACTTAGCGCTGGGTGGAACTGGGAGTAATCTTCCTTGGAGAGAGGGCAGTGTGTGGGAGGAAGAGGGTGCACACAGATATGGGAGACCAGAAGGATGGATGGCAGTGGGCACTGCTCCTTGTCCTCCAACTCCCAGTCCCTCTTCCTTCCATGGGAACAGAGTTGGCCGCCAGCTGCTCAGGGCTGCCGGGCCTCCTTTCAAGTTGTGTGGCCATGTGGCTACATGTTTGCTAATGGAATGTGAGCTCAAGAGATGTTTGTCATTTTTGCTCTGGGACCTGGTGTCCTCCACATTTCCTTTCCCCTTCCCCTGGAACCTGGACATAGTAGAAACCCATCTTCAACTGTGCAGATGATGACAATGCCCTAGAGATGGGAAAGCGACAACTTGGAAGGAATCTGAGTCTTTGAATGGTCATCCTGAACAGGGCCGCTGCCTCAGTACTGTTGCATGAGATAAGCTTCCATATTCTTATGGTTCTTGTATCTTTAGGTCTCTTCACCACAGCAGCTTAGCTTCATCTGAACTAATTTACCAGGTAAGAGTGCATTTATTTCCAAGTGGAACCAAGGGTTACATCATAGAATGAACATTTCAACTCTACAGTTTGACCAGTGTGGTGCAAAATGTTTTGTTACTATTCTTTGGTTGTAAAACTCTTGTAAAGCCCAATTGAAAGCCATTAGGCTGAGCTTTGGTCTTATACAACTTTAGAACATCTCACATGGGAGAATGAGATCATAAAATCCTTCAAAATATAATTTTTATTAATACAAAATTTTTAAAGAACTAAGTAAGTGACATAGAATTTGGAGAATGTGAGTGGAAAAGCTCTCATGAAATCCATCCAACAACAAGATCACACCACCAAAAAGTCTGGGAATGACTGACGTAATTTGGATTATTCAAAAAGAACTAATTGTTTTGTTTTTAACCCCATATAAATGACTTTGGGTGGCTTACAATCTGTAAAGCTGGGTAGGAAAGGGCTGTTTCTCTAAACAAGCTTCATGTTATTATACCACCATTTTTACTTGTCCCTCTGCCTGCTATGTCCTTTCTGTTCCCTTCTTTCTCCCATAGTGAAATTCTGCTCATCTTTAAGCCCAGTGCAAGGGTGACCACCTAGGAGAAGACTTCCCTGGTTCCCTCCCCTCTCCCACGCCCTGCTATCCCCACAGCATTTGGTTTGAAGTATTGAGAGAGCATCTTTCATAGCATGTTTCAGTTAGTTGTTGTTCCATGCTACATCAACCATAACTACTTACGGGCAAGGACCTTATGTGTCTCCATCCTTTGTTCTTGGCCCACACCTAAAATAAAGCAGGCTACCCATAAATACTTGTTGAATTAAATGAGTGCCCATTCCCAGGTCTGACACAGTCCCTATACCAAAGGGAGTAGAGCCAGTTGGGTGAGAGGAGGGGTGGCCCTGATGGCAGTCCCCTCTGTGTAATTATCCCCTTCCAGTGAATAATGGGGCTTCAGCTCTGTGTCTGATTCTTTGATGAAGATGAAACTATTTAATCAGGTTTGGTTGCTTATCTCATCATCTCCCCACATCACACCCTTCCTGACGAGTTCATTAGCTGGAAGAAAAATTGATGACCTCGTTAGTTCTGCACATTGGTTCACTTAGGACAAATTGGAGCTTTAGAATGTTGCTCAACTCTGACCCATGGTGGGACAAGGTCTCATTCTCGGGATTGTTTGCATACACTGTGCCCTTGGTGCCTTTGTGTGATGGGTTGCCCAGGAAATTTCTGTTTGAAATAGTGTCTTTTCCGATGTAAATATCCGTCTCAGGTTTCTTCTCATCCTGCTCAGTGAGGAATACACCATTCCCTCACGGTGCTAAGTGTAGGCTCACCTTCTCTCCACTCCCCCACCTCAAATATTTTCTCTCTGCTACCCACTGAAATCCTCTCATCCTCTATGGCTTAGTTTACTTACTGGCCCCACCCCCATGCAGGAGACATTCACTGCATCCTTGGGGTCCTATCTCAGGTGAATTTGGAAGTAGCTGGAGCAACCAAAGGACCAGGACAGGAAAAATAAATCAGGACCATGGACAAGGACTGGAGAAAGGCACGTGGTGGCAGGGACTGCTGGCCTGTGTAAACTTGACCAAGGATCTGACACACCAAGTCTGCAGAAGTGGAAGGTGTGGCCAGTTCTGGCACTGTCCAGGGGACCCAGTTTGGCACTGAGCACAGTGGCCAGAAGAGCCTGGGCGGTAAGTGATCCTGAGGGTTAGAGGTAGAGGTTCAAGCGTTGTGGTCCTGGATGATGCTCTATTCCCTCTTCCTCAAATGTTCTTTCTCCCCCTCTAACTTCACCCTATTCTCCTGACAAATTCCTGTGCAGTTTTTAAAAGCCAGCTTTTTCTAGAAAGCCTTTCCTGTCATCCTCCCTGACATTGTTGGCCACTCCCATCTCTGTGTCAGCTCTCCATCTTGAACACATTTTAGTGCTGCGTTTGTCACACAGTGGTGTGATTATTCATGAAAAGGTAAGTTTCTTCTGCTTTCCAGAGAGGTCTTGAGAGTACAGATTTTTTTTCCTCCCGTGTATCCTGAGTACCAAACATAGGCCTGCCAACTAGTAACCATTAAATAATTATCTGTTAAATAAAAGAATGAGTGAATGAATGGTGGGACACCAGCTTGCAGCAGGAGGGTGTAGCCACAAAAGAATGGGGTAAGCATGGGCTCAATGGAGCTTCAAGGCTCCTGCCGAAGTCCAACTCTCAACTTTCGTAATATTGGCGCAGTGGAGTGTAATGCAAGGAAACTGAGGCAGACATCCAGTCCCATGGCTTGGACCAGCATTGTATCTTCTAAAAATGTTGACTTGGGTTTTTTTTTCTTTTTTTTTTTTGAGGAAGATTATCCCTGAGCTAACATCTGCTGCCAATCCTCCTATTTTTGCTGAGGAAGACTGGCCCTGAGCTAAGATTTGTACCCATCTTCCTCTAATGTATATGTGGGACACCTGCCACAGCATGGCTTGATAAGCGGTGTGTAGGTCCACACCCAGGATCCAAACTGGCGAACCCTGGGCCGCCGAAGCGGAACATGCGAACTTAACTGCTGCACTACTGGGCTGACCCCTTGACTTCGGTATTAACTGAATTATTATTAAATGTTTTTGACAGATGATAACATTATTGACCCTGGTTCCGCTGCTTCTTTTCACTGGGAGACTGTGTTTATACTGGGTTAGCTCTTCAATAGCTTCTTTTTCATTTTTTCCATTAAAAAAGATGGCTATAGCTTCATATGCTGCACACCGGCACATGGCTCATTGCTGGGCTAAACCTAGACGTCTAGGACCTTGCAGGCCAGCACCCTAGGGCCATGCTTATCTGGGAAAGGCTGTCAGACAGAGATCATTTGTTTGTAAGGAACAAAAACCCATTTCTACTAATGTAAGTAAAGCAGACAGTCACTGGGACACACTTAGTGAAGTGATGAATCTCCATTCTCGAGATTGCTAGTCACATGGCACCCCTGTACAAGGCTCTTTCAGTGTCCAATTCTGAATTCCTGGGTAGAGACTACATCTATGTATTGGCTTATCTTGGTTGGAGAAGCTATCCTGGACCAGGAGTGGAGTCTCAGAGTAGGAGAGCTGCCCCTTCCAGGAGTCATGTTCAATAAAGATTAACCTGGAAGAGAAACTGGGAACATCTCTGCTTACAAGAGAAGCTCATTTAGAAGGCATAACTTAAAAATGAGTTAAAAGAAAGGAGCTGGGACCAAGAGGGAGCAGGCTAAAACTATCTAGGAGAACAAGGGCTTGGCAAAATCTAGGACAAATCTAGAGGACAGTGACAGGTTGTGCAACAGGAAATGGAAATGGCTTCCCTTTGTGAAGAGCTCTTCAGTTTGCAGAGCACATTCCTGTACACTGGCTGCCCACTGAGTTCCCCGAAGTCAGAACTGAGTCTAATTCAAATCTGTATTCCTTCATATCCCCCTTATCAGGACACCCGTTCCGGAACAAAGCAGGTGTCTGGGCAATGAAAACACTCCGTCCTCATGGTAAACCTGTGAGGCAGACATGACATAAAGTTGTCCCATTTGATGATGAAGGAAACAGAGGCTCCAAGTAGGTAACTGATGCGCCCAGGATCATACAGATTGTAAAGGATGAAAACAGAACTCAAATCCAAGGTTTGTCTCCTGGTAAAGAGGTCTTTCTGTGATACCATAAGGAATCATAAAGCAGCCTCAAAGATCAGGAAATGTGAGAGAGAATGTGTAAGGGGGTGACTTTGATGGGTATTACTATTTTAACAAGGTGGCCGTTAACTTCATTTCAACCCTATGAGATACACTTAGAACTTCAATTGTAAAATTTACAGTAAGGACCTTGTCTTTTTTCTGGGGAAAGGTGTCCTAAAATGTTGGTAAATTGAGCATGAGAGCTTAGTTTCATGAAAACACATCTGCCATCTGCCTTCCACTGGGCTTGTTACAAAGACACCTCTTTAAACCTTAGTGCCAGAGAGTGACATCTGGTTGCATAGCTTTCTCGGGAATTTCCAGGACTTTGTTCAGAACCAATTAAGCCCACCTGTTCTATCTCCCCCACAGGAGCTGGAACAGGCAAAAGGGGTTAATGGGCTTGTGTAACGCAGTGCTCCCCAGCACTTATCAAATGCTGCTCTCACCTCTTCCGTGCCTCCACCTATAAATGTTAACGAGGCAGGAAAGGTTTGACGTTGACAGAGAGGAATCAGGATTCCATTTTTGACAAGTTGACAAGTGGAGGAAATTCATATATTATACGGCTGGGAGCAATGGCTTTCGCTCTAATTTGTTATACTGGTTCCTATCCATAGTTTTCTCTCTCTTTTTTTTCTGAAGCTTACCTGTGTTCCAGAGCAAATGTGGGTGGCCTGAAGCACCTTTCCATCTTGCTCTGGCTGTGGTGTTTTTAACGAGCCGCTCTCTTGAGCCCTTTCCTAGTGAGGGCTGTGTGCTGCTGGATATCCTGGCCTTCTTCCCCATCCACACTCTTGGGTCTTCCGGGCCATTCTCCCGCGGAGAGAGTTTGCTCTATGAATAGGTACCTTTGATAGAGCACAAAACCCCGCTGGGTGCGCACCATGTTGTCTGCCACCCTGAGCATCCATGTTTCCTGAAAACAACCTTGAGAATTTAGCTGTATACTCTCCCCCTCTGGGCTGCTCTGTCACTTAGCCTGTCACCAGAGAGGATTTGGGACAACTGAAACTGCTACCCCTAGGGTGTGGTGAATTGTTGCTCTGCATTAGAGGTTTAAATTGAAGTGACAAAACCTCCTAAGAACCTCTTACATATAAAGGGCGTGGTGATTAGCATGAGGAGCCATGTGGACTAACTAGTATGGGAAGCAGACAGCCACCAAGAATAAAGGTGGCCACAGGAGTAGGTGCTCTCCCAGTTTCCCAGTCTGATTGGTTTGGTTAATTACTCTTGCCTCCAAGCCACCTTATGGAGTCACCTGCCAGCCCACAGATGGACTCTTGTGTCATGTGCTCATCTAGTCTCCAGTCAGTGGCTGCCCCTGAACAAGGAAAGTCAGTGCTCCTCCCTGTTAAGGGAGCTGAGGACAGGGCAGTCCCAGCTAGGAGATGACACTGGGCATGGCAGACATCCTGACTGTCATGATCAGAACAGACAGCCCATGACTCATGCAGACAGACGGCCAGTGGGGAAAGAGGTGGGGTTGAAGAATAAGGTGGCTTTCTTTGTTTGCCAGCAGAAGCCGTAAAAGACCTGAAACTTGAGTGAACACAGCTGGCCCATAATGTAACTCTTTTTGCTGCACAAAATAGCTGTGGAATGCCCCTCTCTCTTTCACATGTCCATTGTGAGTATTTTTGGTAACGCCTGTTCCCTTCAAGCCTGCCCTTTCTGTCATTGACATTAGATCTTACGTGCATAATAATCATAGTGCACATCTGTTTTTGCTTGCCCAGCTTTTCTTTTCTCATGTTTTGATAGCACTTCTCAGTTTTCCATTGGGGAACGCCTCCCCACTTTTAATCCATGTTCTTCAAATGGAGCTGGTCTTATTCCCATTTCCAACTGTCCAATCTCATCTTCTTGGATGTGGTGATTGGTTCAAGAATGGCCACATGGCCCAAGCCTTACCATTGAGAACCTACTTACTACTTTTGCTAACATTTTGGGAAAGAGTCTGTCTCTGAGATTGAAGGATCTAAGGTCCATATAAATATGGAACTGCTGGGGCCCTTTTTGCTGCCATGGTGGCCCAACAGAAGAGAACCACCAATAGTTAGAGACATTGTCCTGATGAAATCATTTGAGCCCCTTTGTTTAGCCAAACCTGACAACAAGTAAACCTCTGGACATCTCAATGATGTGCACAAATAATCCCCACCACTACCACCTTTTTGTGGCTAAAGCCAGTTTCAATGAGTTTCCACCATTTGCAATCATAAGAGTCCTGAATGATCCAACAATGTTCCAAGGGGTTGGAGATAAGGGGACAGAAGGAAGAGATTTGTCCTCTGCCCAGCCCCAGGGTTACCCCTAGGGGCTCTGTCTGATTCCACAGACCCACTGGAAGCCTCAGTCCTGGGGAATGAGTTCTAAGGTTCTAGTTGGCATCTAGGATACAAGGGCTCAGAGAACCCTTCTCCCCTCTCTCCATTCCCCACCAAAGTAGGGGATTAAGTCAAAGGCACTGGGGTTGGCTTTTCATTCTGGGTTCCTAGAGTCTCCCACTTAAAATTTACCTCTGGATTCTTTCTTTGTATTTAGGCTCTGAGAGACCTGGCCTCATTATCTCATGCTACTGAATTGTCCCCTATTCTATAACTGGTGCAATGAGAACCCCTGGGCTGCCCTCCATGCAGGAGCAAGTCTTCTCCTCAGAGAGGAGTACACAGGCAATTAGTTCTAGGCAAGGGAGAAACACGGCCTCTTCTCTTCTTTTCCTGGGGGATCTCTTTTTTCCTGGTCTTAGCAAGAGTAAGATCTATTTGGGGTATGGGTCAAGGGGAGTGAGGCCAAAGAGATCACTAGGCCAGCTTGGCATCTGGATCATGATCCTGTCTATCAGCTCCAGTCACCACAAGACCTTCTCTCCTCTCCTATTCCACTGCTCTAACTCTTCCTTGTCACTATCCTGCCGTTGCAGCTACTTGTGAGTACCACACTGCTGACAGTGCACCAGGAGAATGCTGGCATCTAGGCCAGGGCCCGGCTCCCTGATGCTCCCAAGCCAGGGAGATTTCTGCTCTCCTTAACTCCGTGCTATTCTTTGTCTCTGGCCCCTCACAGCACTGCCTGTGCTCAGAGCCTTTCCTGTAAACAGCTCCTTCTACTTCTGGCCCCACCCCTCCCCTCCAGGGCTGAAGCCAGTCCAGGGGAGTGGGGACAGATGGCAGGCTGTCTCTCTGGAAGTCCCATCTTTCTCCTTCACACATAATAAACCACATACACAAACAACTCATGTAAATAAACAGCCAAAGTCCAGCTTTCAGGCTGAAATCAGATAGAACAGCCTGTTCTGTCATTCCAAGAAAACCCTGACCACGAGAAGCCTAGGAGGTTGAAGAAGGTATTTACTTTTTAGTTAAATACAGACTCTACTTTTCAAATGTCAAAATGCTCACATAAGAAAGTTGCCTATTGTTCACTTGTTAACAAAGGGGTCTTTTCCCACACCAAGGCAAGTTTTCTTTTTCAGCTGCGAGCTAATTTCTCTCTCCGCTAAACAATGATTCCCTGCTCTCTCTCTCTCCTGCTTACAGACACTATTAACATCCCACAGGAAGTGGTGTTTGTACAGTGCTCCTTGATTAACGAATCTCCAGGGAACAAACCTTCTCTGTAGGATGTGAGGCTGTGCTCAAAAAAACTTCATAAATCACGCAGCCACGCTACCTGGGCTGGCAGCGGCATGCTGGCCACACTCGGTGCATGGCTCATGTTTACTACCACCATGCTGAAGGTAAGAGGACAAGAGTTGTTCCCTGCTCCCAGGCTTTTCTAGTCCATATCCTTCCGCCTCCCTGGATGGGGATGGTGCTTAGTCTCATTCCTCCTTCCTGCTCCCTCTTCTCTCTCTTCCTCTTCCCCCCTCCTCCCTCAGATCCTTTTGTTCCCCCCCCCAGCCTCCCCGACAAACCTTAGAGTGAAAAATGAACCTAATTCACACTAAATATTAAGCTGAATCTTAAAAAAAAAATAGGCTTCTCTGACCCCTGGTAAAGGAATCCCCAGGCACCAAGGTAGATTTCAGCAAGCAGGTCAAAAGAGGTGGGAAGGAATGAGTCCCTAGAATAAGGCTAAAGTCTACCCAACTGGCTATGATTGCAGATAACAAAAATTTAGATCTTTGCCACTAACACTGGTTCAAGGCCTCTTCCTCTCTGACTTTTGTCCCTTGTCCAGTGGAGGAACGCCTGCCCCAAGAACAGGTTTTGTGAGGCTTGACGCTTATGCAATCTGGGGGATGGTGTGGGGGCCTTACCAAAAATTACAAAGTGACAGATACAAAATTAGGTATGAATGAGAATATTTATTTAGAATATTAATAGAAATCAAAATAAATGATAAATTTTAAAATACCATAAGCATCACAAAATCCAGGAAAATAACATTAATTAGACCCATCATTAATTATCTGCTTGGCATACTTCTGTAATACTTTCCCCCCAATATTTTATAGCTACAGTTTGATTGCCTTCTCAAATGACAATTCTGCAATATTTTCTATAGTTTGTTTCATTTAAGATCTGTAAGACTTCAGAACATTTCAAGTTTTCTTGTGCAAGGACTAATCTTAAATATTTTTTGAAATAATATCATGCATTAGCCATTTTGTTTTCAAAGTCCTAATGATGAGCACACAGTATATGAATTTTGTCTTATCTTCATTCATGTCGTATTTTGTAGAGAAGCGTAAAATGTGTGACTTGGTTCAATATTTTTGTGGAAATGCATAAAGCATACAACTTGTCACAGAGAAGTATCAGCTGTTTGTAATACTGCTAAAAGTTTGTGCCTGTAAACCCAAGGATTCTTACATATTCTGAGTCATGCAATTCTTAACAAATTTTAGAAAATATATAATAATTATAACCCTGAATTATTGAGTTTATTGTTGACAGCAGATGCAACTTCTATTCTGACTAGGTGGTGATGAGAACTGGATCCTCCTCTTCTTATTTTTCACATCTGATGATTGGAAGAATTTTCCATGTATTTCTGAATGCATTTTAGAAGGTATTTCTCTTCCCTTCCCACATATGTCTGGTGTAGGTTGCAAAGGACACAGACACATGGCACTAGCATCTCTTGCCCTGCACCTGTATGGGCCAGCAAAGTGGGCAATAGGAGTATTCCTGGAAGATGTCCCTAGACCAGGATGGTAAGCGATAGTGGCATAACTCCTCATGGAAGAGACCCTGAACTACAGAAAATACAATCCACTGAACCCAATTGAAATGCATCTCCAACTCAACTTCCCCTCAGGTGAATCCGCAAGCTGCTCATGACCACTTTAACACCACACAATGTTAGGGTCAGAATGAAAGAGGGGGGGAAATCGGGTTAAAAAGAGTCTTAAACCACTTGTTAACATGTTATGGCTAAAATATCTTACTTTTGCAAATTTTACAAACACACACAACCACGTGAACAAATTGCAAGAGCCCCTCATGAGATCTGGGAAAGGTTTTTCCAAGTGAGGGGCACTGAAGCCTGATTTTTGTTAGCTTCACAATCTAACCTGCCTCTGCTTATGAACTGCTGGATGTGGCCAAACCAATGAGCCTCTCCCTCTTCACCTGCTTCTTCCTTGACCTGGAAGCCCCCTGCACTGACGTGAATCTGACAGCCCCTCCCTCCAGACTGCCTCTGGACCAGTACTCACTCCACTGCCATCAGCCTTCTCCTCCTGAGCCCAGGTCAGGCCTCCCCCTTCCACCTCTCCTGACCTCAACTTGACATTGTTTCCTCTACTCCAAGAATATCAGATGAATTTTTATTGCCCCATTTGTTTTTATTTTCACAAATCATCAGTGACTTTTTTACACTGTAAATGCCATTTTATTTCTGTCTATATTCTATTCTGTATTCTTTCTGTATTAATTTTGCTTCTAGGTTTGAGCTTTTGACCAAGAGCTTCCCCAGAATGCATCCTCTCTGTTTCAAGGCTGCATTACTCTGCTGAGATTGGGTAGAGTCTTGGCCTCTGATGCTAGGGACCTCTACTTGGCTGTTATCCCTTAGAGGTATTTGGTTTTGTTTTCATCTGTCTCTGAATGAGTGATCGATGCAGTGAATTAGTCAGGACTCTTTCAGTTGCAGGTGATGGACATCCCAACTCAAGGGAGCTTGAGCAAAATGAAAGGGAATGTTTTTGGCTCATGTAACTGGGAGGTACAAGGTTAGTTCTGACTTAAGTACAGTTAGATCCAAGGGCATAGACAGTGTTGTCTTCTTTCTCTTTATCTCTTCATCTCTTGGCTCTGCTTCTATCTATGTGTTGGCCTTATTGTCTTCTATTGTAAATGGACAGTGAGGTACATGGCTGCTAGCAGTTTCAGGCTTAGGGCATAAGCAGAAAGAGCCTATCCTTCTTGGTGTGTACTATTAAACCTCGTGGAGTGACTCTGGTTGGCTATGCCTTGGTCACATGCCTTCTCTTGGCTTAGTCATTATAGACAGGACATGGGGAAACAGGACTCGCCAGACCAGGGTCATTTGCCTACTCCTGCCTCAAGGGACTTGGGCAGTAACAGTTGGCACCTGCTCCTCACATCTTATGATTAGAGTGGAGAGAAGTGCCCCAAATGAACAGAGAGGCATCCTAGATAAATTGAAACAACATATATCCCCTACACATAAGTAAAGCTCAATATTATTTACAAATGGAAATGTTTTTCATTAAAATTTATGTAATATCTTCCTTATTTCTCTAAATTTTGCAATTTTATTCCATCAATCTGGAAGTCATTTAAAATTAGCCTGGCATACAACATCTTTGATATTCTATTATTTTCCTATATTTCAATTAGGTCCTTGTTGTATGTCGGTTTCCCAGAAATAGGTTCTGAGACTCGGAGATGTATGTGCAGAATGGAGAGTGAAGGAAGTAGGATTGGGCAGAGGAGGAATTGAACTGCAATGTGGTTGCAACAGAGGCTTCAGGTGATCTTATGGGTGCTTTGGAACTGGGATGGCCCTTCAGAGTTGTCCCAATTGAGGCAAGGGAGGTCAGGACTTTATATCCTCCTTTGAGCAGCCATTGAACGGAGGCTGCCCCCAGGAGCAGCTCTGTGGCTGAAGGGAGTGCCTGGGGAGGACTCAGCTGTGAGCCCTCAGTAGCCCACACTCCCAGCAGCTGGGACAGTGAATTGGTAGTCCTGAAGGGGCTGGTGAGTAGTGCTTCAGTGGATGGCCAAAGAGCGGGGAAAGGACTCCCATAATTCTGATATTTAAATATTAAGGGCCAAGTATGGGGCGGATGTGCCCTTATACATCTTATCACTCATTATTTTTCTTTATAGTCACAGATACTGAGTCGTTCACTTTAGAATCTATATTTTAAACTGTTATTTCCAATGTGATGAATGTTCTTGTTTCAAAACGCACGATATAGATCCAAATTCTGATGTATTCTGTAGAATCACTATAAACGTGACTTAAAGGTAGAATGCAGGGTAGTTCTGAGGGCCCACGATTATGCTGTGGACCTGGAGCCCTGCCTGCTGATGCAGAGCTGTCTGTCTGCTAATCCTTCAAATCTTAGGCTCTGTCAGGCCAGGGAGACGAAAGCACCACACTCAGGTCACCACCCTCCTTAGCACTCATTCCTCTCAGCTGCCCACCCTCCCAGCAGCCTATCGACCTAGTAAGTTGGAGCTGGCAGGTGTGACTAATCCTGCTTTGCATCTCTCTTAATCAGTTTGGGCTGCTGTAACAGAATATGATACCCTGGGGTCTCAAACAGTAAACATTTACTCCTCACAGTTCTGGAGGCTGAGATCAGGGTGACAGCATGGTGGGGTTCTTGGTGAGGGCCCTCTTCCTGGTCTACAGATGGTTGCTTTCTTGTTGTGTCCTCACATGGCAGAGAGAGAACGACAGACAGAGAAAGTGGGGGAGAGAACCAATCCCAGGGGGGTCCACCCCATGACCTCATCCAAACCCAATTGCCTCCCAAAGACCCTACCTTCAAATACCATCACATTGGGAATTAGGGCTTCAACATATGGATTTGGGGGGGACACAGACATTCAGTCCATAGCAGCATCTCTGGTTTAGACCTTGGGCTATCAGCATTCACAATCCACCTTTCTTAGCCTCTTTAGCTACATCTCCTAGTTTTAGACCTCTTTTGAAACTATGCCTATATTCCCATTTTTAGAGTAAGAGACCTTTGAACCCTCTCTCATATGCAGAATCTTGGGATTGCTCAATCTGCAGGCCTATGTGGACATGCAGCGTGGATTTTCCCCCAGCTGGTCTGTTTATAGACAGATCTCATGCTGCTTCTCCCCCATTCATCTCCCACCACCACTTCTAATGAGTCAGATGACTTCCCATTTGAGCTGAGCTGTAAATGGGTTTAAAGCAGAAATCCCAAATGGCATCCCAAGGATGAGATCTGGTGGGCAGCTGAATTTTGTTTGACCTATATCATGTTTTTAAAAATTTGAGCCAATATTCAACAGTCTGGAGATTTCTCCCACAATAAAATCTGGATTTCTCTTCTCTTAAAAAAAATCAGAGAATCCAGCGATGCAAGTAGGCATTTTTACATGGCAACACTTGGCTCAAGCTGAATAAGTCACCACAGGTCCCACTACTCACTATTGTTTTACACTTGCTTCCTTCACTTATTTATGTTAACTGCCTGGATTCTGTAGTTTACACCCGTGGTCTAAGTTAGCATTCCTCCCAGGTGGTACTTGGCATCCAGTGCAAGTTGTTGGCAGAGAAGAAGGGCCAAAAGCATGATGCAATCAGGACTGAGGTGAAGAAGAAAATCAAACCCAGGGTTTTCGATAACATCGTGTTTCCTGATGCAGACAAGTTAGGCTTGCCTCCTTTGTCGATTTCACAGGAGGAATGACATTTCATCTGTGGAATGCATTGTGGTTTTGGACAGAGATGGTCCAGAGTGACTGGATGGTAACCTCTGCCACTTGTTACTCATCTGTTGCTAAGGAAGAGACTCAGAAAACGTTGGAAAACTATGTGTCATGTTCCCTCCTCCTGGGTCACGGATGTGGCCAAGTGGAAATGTGAGATGTGTTGCCAAAGAGAAGATTCCTTTGTTTGACACAAGGAACAGCATTTGATTTCCCTGTCTTAGGAACAATTTCCTTTACAGACCGGCAAGGCACGCCTCTGAAAACTCAAGGCAACCTGCCCCGGGTAGACATTTGTTTATTTGAAGGCTAACTGAGGATGAAGAAAATATAGAAGGAAAGGAATAAAAAATTGATTACTCCAAAGCAGCAGAGATGCCAATGGTGGCAGATAAATGGGTTTTCTCTGTAAAATATGAGAACTATTACTTGGCTTATACTCGGCCCTACCAATTTTAAAAAGCAAAATACCTCCATTCAGATCTTCTAGTTTTAAGTATGCTTTAAATCAATTGTAATGTTTTCTTGCTTTTCAAAAATAAAAAAAGGTTTAAATTAGAGAAGCGGATTGTGTTGGGAGGGCGTGTCTTCTTTGCAGAGCTGGGGCTGGAGGGGCGGGTGCATTTGCAGACTTCATTATACCGAGTACTCTGCTCAGTCTCTGCTCTCCTACCCCTACCCCATGCCTTCCCTTGGCACATTACTTCCTGCAACACATACATTTCTTAATTTAATGGGTTCATTAGTCTATTATAGCTTTTCCATACCTAGAATGGGCCAGAGTGGTGATGAATGGTTTATCAGGAAAGCAGCTCGAGGATAGGACTTCATAGACATCGTGGCAGCAGCTTAATCAGGAAATCCAAGAGGCTTTTGGTGGTGGGAGGGGAGAGGAAAGGACATTTGGATCAGCAGAGAATTTCTTCCCCTAGGTCTTCTGACTCAGAAACATTAAAAAATCTAATGCAGCTTTATTCTCCATCCTCCTTTAAGCCTTAAATGTCTGCCTTTTGGGCATGGACTGTAATAGACTAGGGCTTTAGGACCAGTTTCTCTGAGAAGCAGCCGGTGTTCAAGAAGGGCCCTTGACACCATTCTGACTTAATGCTAGACACATCTGCAGCTACTTGGACAAAATTGACATTGTCTGAGTGCAAAGCAATCGCCTAGCGCAGCATTAGGGAGCACTTACTCTTGAGCCGAGCTACCAGACAGCCAATCTTGACCTTTAGGAGTTCAGAGATTAGATTTCGTTGCTGCAGGCGTTGAAGATATTGTTAGGAATTTGTTGCTATTCAAAGCAGATTTCAGGGGTTACCTATGGGTTTAATTCATCGCATCAATCATTTTTTGGAAAGTTCTTTTAAAGCCAAGATAGCTTCAAATAAAAACTAGGATTACTTTTACATTGATTGTCAGTAGTTGGTGAGGAGCAAAGGGGGAACACTCTTGAGATGCTGTTAAAGTTTTCGTATTTGTTCCTTCGCTGGCAGGCGATCTGTGGTATTGGAGAGAAAAGGCATGTTTCTTCAATAGGTATTCGAGGCTGGTGCTGCAGGAAACAGGCAGGAAATAAGAATAAGGATTTGACTCCCCTCTGGTGTAGATTTCTCGAGCCCTTTAACCCATGCAGTGCCCAGATCTCCTGCAGGTTATCTCAAAGTGCCTTGTTTAAAAGAAGACCTGTTTAAGCCAAGAGGGGTTAAAAGGGGCTTATTTCGTTGAGCTAATGCATATAGGTACCCAATCTCTTCCTCTGTGCGTGGATGTGTATCTGTGTATGCACCTGTGGAGCTTGCGTGTGTGTGTGCACGCGTACACATATGGGCAGCCTCCCTTATCTGGAGGTCAGCTTCCCAGCTCCTGCAGCCCTCTTGATCCCCGGAGGTGTATAGAAAATATTTCTGAGGGTGACTGGAAATGAAGTGCCGCACAGTGGCTGGACTCAAGCCATGTGCTTTCCTTCTTGCAACAGACTTTTCTCTGATCCTTATTGATTTTTATTTACCATGCAATTCCTATTAAGCTCTTTTACTCAGCTCCCCAATGCACAGTCGATTAAACACCTCGAGGAGACTTTATCGCCATTGTTTTTCTTCACCTCTCCAAATTTGCTTCTTATTTCTCAAAGAGGGAGTTTGCACTAGGTAATCCTACAGCACTGATTTTATTGCACCCAGAAGGTGATAAGGATTGCTTTTCAGGGGAGGGACAGGAGCAGCAAAAGAAACATGAACGAGAGCCAAGGAAGGGAGAGGATGCAAACATTGCAACAGGGAGAGAGCTGTCACCGCACAGCATAATAATGGGGACCTGAGACATCAATGAAAGGTTACACACATATGTTTAGTTTAAGAAGCCAGGTTAATGGGTAATTATTATAAAATACACTTTAGAAAGATTTTTCTCTAAAACCGTCAACACAAAATTTTCTTGCTGGAAAGAGGAAACCTCATTGTCAAGATAAAGTGTATCTTTGGAGTGGTTGTTTCTTGATGCTGTTGAAGATAGGAGACTGTTTTACGGCAGGTGCGTATCAGGTGAGCAATGTACCTTGTTGATGATGCTCAGCATTGTGTCTACGTGGCACTCTGCAGAACTTCAATGGGGAAATAAAAAGGAACCGAGTTCTCTTGTCTTCCACTCAAGTGAAAGATGCAATTGCCAGGCCATTCTCCCTATCATTGGCAGAAGAGTTCCTGTGTACCAGATATCATACCCCACGGGTAGGTATTACTGCCCATTGGGCAGAGAGAAAAATCGAGGCTCACAAAGTTAAGTAACACGCCTGAGGTAACACGACCACCAAAGCACATCACTGGGATTCAAACTCAGCTTGTCTATTTAAAGGTTCTTGCTGGCACCACTAAACCAAGGTATGGCTCCCACACAGAAGAGTAAACTGAGGCACGTGCAGCTAAATGGTCTTGAACAAATTGCAGAAAATAACCAGAACAAATATTTCATTCTCAGTCCACTGGCCTTCTGCTAAACCAGACTTTGATCTCTCTATATAAATTATATATGTATTAATAGCCACTGGGAATTCATAATTTGCCAGGTATAAACACATATACATGCACAATACATGCATTATAAAGAGTGATTACTAATTGCTTTTGCACTTGTGGAAATACATTCATATGTGCGTTATAAAATATGGCTGAGCATTTGTACCAGGCTTCCAAACCAGCATGGTGTCGTGTCTTGGATTCATCCATGTACAGACTGTGGTCAGGCAGTGGTTTCCAGGGCAGCCAGGGGAGTGACTGACTTCTCAGCCAACCCTGAGATCGAGGTTGAGTCTCTTAGAATTCATGGGTAAGGATGCAGTTTATTTACAAGAAATACAACCCTGCTGCTGCTGGAGAAGTAATTGGGCCAAGCACTATCCTCTGGACATGAGAAGTTAATGAACTGGGTGAATTGGACTTGCTTGAGTTTATTTTAAAAATCTTTATTACAAAGGCAATACATCTTTATTGCATAAAATTGAGGAAGTACCAATAAGGAAAAAGAAATAATAAAACTCACGCACGGTTCTACCAATTAGAAATAACAAAACCAAACAAGTTGGGATATAGCCTCCTCTATGTAAACCTGTATTATTTATGAAAGGCTCATAATGTATATTCTGTTTTGTAACCAGCTTATTTCACTTAAAAATGTTGGGGCCATTTTTCCACGTCATTAAATATTCTACAATGTCATTTTCTTTGGCTGTGGGATAACTTATTGAATGGATGTGTCATTGCCTATGTTTATTTAGTTAATAACTTACCTAATGTGTTTCTGTTGAAGGCCTCAGAACCACAGCCAGATGAATGTACGTCTTGAAATACTACCACCCAAAACAGTGTCCTCCTTCCTGCTATTACTAAATGGTGAATGAAAGCTACAGGCCACATCCCTTCAGGTCCTAACGCCATATGAGGTAACACACATGTGCAGACGCTCTGAGATAAGCCCTGGGCCGGTCAGCGCTTATTACTGGTCATTCCCACTCCCCTCCCTCATGCAGTAAACGGCCCTTGCGGTGTGCGGCACTTACGCTTCCAGAGCGCTTCGTCCTCTAGTCTAATTGTCACCGCTGGGTGCTGGGTCAGTCTAATCCTTACAGAAGGGAGGGGACTGAGGCTCAAGAAGCTGCAGTGACTTATCAAAGATCGCCCCAACTGTGAGTCTCAAAGCCGGATTCTGAACCCAGACTTTCAGATTCTAAGTTCACTGGAATTTCTATTGTAATGTGATGCTGTGGGAAGAGGAAGGAAAGGAGCGAGGGAGGGAGGAAGGAAGGAAGGAGAAAAGCTGTAAAAGACAAACAGGCTTGGGGCCGGCCCCGTGCCCAGTGGTTAAGTTCGCGTGCTCCACTTCGGTGGCCCAGGGTTTTGCCGGTTCGGATCCTGGGCGCCAACATGGCACCGCTCGTCAGGCCACACTGAGGCAGCATCCCACATACCACAACCAGAGGCACTCACAGCTAGAATATACAACTATGTACTGGGGGGCTTTGGGGAGAAAAGAAGAAAGAGAAAAACAAAAAGGCTGAAATGGCATCTGTGGCCCTGGTGCTCTGTGGGCGGGCAGGGAGGGCAAAGGGCGCCCCCAGTCCATCCTGTATGCACCTGTCTGCTTACCTCCCACCTAGATAACAGAGGAACAAGACCAGCTGGTTTCTCAGGCTGCAGACTAGGGGTCTCAAAAAACAAAGCCATTTCTCTCTGTGTTTTTGCAGTCACCGAATAATCAACAGCACGTATTCGTGGCTCGCTCTCCGCAGCTCCCTCTTCTGTCCTACTCTGCAGGGTGGAGGAGCACTGGTCACTCTGAGGAGACACCTGGCACTGGGATAACAGCTGAAGGAGTTGGGCCCGAGGACGGGGCTGGACCTGAGATGTGTCTTCATGCATCCGAGGGGCTGGCCTGAGCAAGAGCAGTTAGACCTGAGCTCTGAGGCCTCCTAGGATCAGACACAGGGCCAACGGGTGAAAGGCTCAAGAAAGTGATTTCTACTGGTTCTCAGAAGGGATTTTCTTACCGCCAGTAGAATCAGCTCCTTGGCAGCCAGTGGGGCCACAGACTTCATGGACAGGGCACTGACTTTGGAGTTTCTCTGGGTGTGTATCTCGTTCTGACTCTTATTAGCTGTAGGCCACGTGAAAGTCATGCAATGTGTCTGAGTCCCAGTTTCCTCATCCATAGAAAGGAGGGGGGAAATTGAGGTAAGTACTTATAAGGATATGAAATAATGTAAAGTGTGTGGATATGCGTAAAATGCCAGGCATATGTCAGGAAGCCCATAAATGTTGGCTTCCGTGTTCCTTGCACCTGGAGTTACATCAGAGAGGGTATTAAAACTGCATAGGTGGTCTGTTAATTTTAAAGGCCTCATCAGAATCTGAGAGTCTTGTGATTTTGTGACTTGATGAAATTGTCTGTGTGTCGGGGGTGGGGGGGGGAGACGTAGTGACGAGGTAAACAAAGCTCCAAGGAAAAAGCTGATAATTTGAATAGACTTATCTGAAGTCTCTGGCTGTGAATGAAGTAGGCTCTGTTTCTCTAAAGTGGCCACAGGTTGGCTGGGGAGGCCTTCAGCCCCTCCAGGGCCTCCTCAGTGTCTCTAAGACAACCCAGATAAATACACAGTCTAAGCCCAAATTGTTTGCTTGCTGTGGAAATTCACCATCAACGTAAGTCCCCTACCTGCCCCTCACCCCGGTTCTTAAGCCCCTCTCATGTAGAAAACTGGGGGCTCTCTTGTCCTATAACTTAGTGAACTTGATCAATGTGATGAGAACACTCTGAAGATAAAAATGCATGTTCTGTTGTAGTCTTGCCAGTGGTTAATGATTCCATGGATGAGAGTCAGGTGTTAAGAAGCTACGTTTAGTTTTTAGGATGCCAGTATACCACTTCATTCATCCCCAGAGTCAGCTCACCTCCCATGGCTCCTAATGCTGGTTATCCACAAGGAGAAGCAAGTACTTAGAACACGTGTCATTGGGGTAGCATTAGGAGAACCCAAGAAAAATCATCCTTCCTGTGAAATGTTTTTTGATCCTAGAGCAGGATTGGTACTCTTTGCAGAACAGTAAACTATCAAACTACTTTTACTTGACATTCGATTTATTTGTTCTTTCATCCGTTTAATTAATTAACATGTATTTATTGAGCACCTCGCTGGGCCCTGGAAATATAACGCTGATTCACAAGGTCCCTGCCCTTAGGAAGTTTTGAGTCTAGTGGGAAAGTGTTGCTCTGAAACTCAGGGACATAGGTTGTGGTCTGACTTGCCATGGGGGCTGTCACATCACTGTCACCAGACTGAGGGAGAAGTCTGGCTCTCTTGGGCATGGTGCCACAGCACCCTGGACCCTTGCTGAGCCAGGATCCTATTGTGGAGGCAGAAGGATGGGGTCACTCACGTACTGCCTCGAAGATAGAGAAGAGCAGGTGGTGAATCATTTGCAAGGCTTCATAAGCTTCTAAGGGTAAGTCTGAAATAAATAAATGAGCCAAGTAAGTGATACAGAACTTACTAATGAATCAGACCAGAAATGTTCATTTTTCTGTTTCCTGTGCTTTTGTGCTAGTTTTTAAGGGCATGTACTCTCTATCCATTATCCTGAGCTAAAACAACTTGGTCTTTCCTTCTCTTCCCACCACATCCTCAACAGTATATCTCATTTAAAATTCCCATTTTATCCTATTTTCTTTCAGTATGTCCCTCTCATCTAAGGTCAGTAGTGGCAGGGCAAAAAAATTCTAATCTATCTCCAAGCTTGGTCCCCAACTTCAAGGTCTCCCTTGGGAAAGACTGTCACAGTCTCTGGGGATAAGCTATGGGGAGGGGAGGGGCCGTCCCGGTGGCACAGCGGTTAAGTTCGCACGTTCTGCTTCAGCGGCCCCGGGGTTCACTGGTTCCGATCCCGGGTACGGACATGGCACTGCTTGGCAAGCCATGCTGTGGTAGGCGTCCCACATATAAAGTAGAGGAAGATGGGCGTGGATGTTAGCTCAGGGCCAGCCTTCCTCAGCAGAAAGAGGAGGATTGGCAGCAGATGTTAGCACAGGGATAATCTTCCTCAAAAAAATAAATAAATAAAATAAAATAAGAAGATATGGGGAGAGGAGAGGGAAGTAACAGTCACTAAAGCACCAATGTGAAGGGCAAGGTCGTGATAACCATGATAACAGCCCCAGATCCCTATCCCGGAAATCCAAGAGTCTGACACACCAAGATTTTCCTGAAGTTTGTAGCAAACTCCCTGGGTGGCAAAACCAGGCCCTGAACTGACATGAATCTATTTATAGTCTTGTATTTATCCTACTTAATATGAATATTCATACACTTCATTAAAGAAATATTAATGTGTTTAATTATGAGATGCTGCCACATACCCTGTTGGGGGTGTTATGTAATTTATGGAAAGTGCCCCATATTACCTTTCTAAAATTCAAAAAATTCTGAATTCTTAAACACACTGGTCTCATGGATTTCTTTTAAGGGGTTGTGGAACTATTTTTTTTTTCAGTCTGTCTTATGATCTCATCTTTATCTTTTATAGAGATAGATTTTCTTTAATTTTCTTGCGAATACCAAGTAGATGCCTTTCTAAAATTCTTTTTGCTTTTTAATCATGTATGTTTTCTCCCACAATACCCCAAATTAGCTTTTATTTCTTGAATACTATGCTTAGCACCTTGGATTTTTTTTCTGTAATTAAAGGCAAAAGTCCCCATGTATTTTTCTATCTTGTTTTTTTAACAACTTTATTGAGGCATAATTTATGTATCATAAAATTCACTTGTTTTGAGTCTATAGTTCAATGACTTTTAGTAAATTTACAGAGTTGTGCGACCATCGTCAGAATCTAGTTGTAGAATATTTCCACCCCCTCAGAAGAAACTTCACGTCCCTTTGTACTTACTCCTTATTCCTACCCACAGGCAAATGCTAATCTACTTTCTGTCTATATTTTTGAGACCAGGCTCTATGTCAGCCACAGTGCACACCATTCTCTTGAGGAAACTGAGGCTCAAGTAAGTCGTGAAGGATAAAGTTGAGATTTGAGGCAGGTCCTCCTGACTACAGAGTTCATGATCTTTCCAAGGGCTGCTAGAGGAGGTCAAGAGTGGCCTCTCACTGAACAAGATCCGAAATGACAGTGGCCCAGGCACAGAGGTTGGAGGCAGGAGTGACCATTATCAAGGTGGTGAACTGGATGACCTTTAGGCTCCAGCCAATTCTGGGCTTCTGGGATTTTTATAAATCCATAAAACACCTCTGACTAAGCCAGGGACTTATTTTAATGAATAGATAAGAATGATGTGTCATGAACAGACTAATTGCATATAAAAGGAATGCTTCTGAAGTACGCAGTGTGTTCCCTTAAGTACTTTAGAAGCCCCCCAGAGATACTGTTTGCAGTCACAATTTGCATGATCAGTGAAGAGGCATTTTGCCAAGCAAAGGGGAGCATCAGCCTCGCCCTGACTCAAGTCATCACGCATTCCGACATATTGATGTCCAAATTAATGAAACCTTTGGTGGATTTATTTTCTTAGCTTTTCAAATTTGAAGTTGGTTCTCCTGATGTAATTGTCCCGGTATGCTGGTGTTACAGCTGCATTAGGCTAGCTGATAGAATGAAATGCCCTGTATTATAACGGAGGAAATATCTATTATGTTGTTGTTATTATGATTAAGAATTTACAGCTTCCTCTCTGTCCGTTATGAGAAGTCCGTTCTCAAAGCCAGCCAGCCTCCAACTGTCCCAGCCTTCCTTTCTGCATCCTACCCCTCTCTGTGATCCAGACTGTTACCTGCTCCTCCCGAGATTTCAAGGACCATGTGTTCTTTCTGTACCCTCTGCCTGAGCAAAACTCAGGCCTAAGAAAAGATTTATGACCCATGTTATCTGCCTTGGTATGATATTTAGATCACTAAATCCCCAAACAGAGGTTCCAGGTTCATGGGTTTTGAACTCTGTGGCAATTTTGGAGTAAAAGACCATTTGATCTCTGATAAAGATATTTCAGTGCACAGATAAGAATTTTGTAATCTGTGGATTTTCTGGGTGCTTTTAACATTTTATTGTGTATTGTTAAAAGGTAAACTGAGGCATATTAAAAGTTTTAGGAGTTTATTTGAGCAAAAATTGGTTCAAATCAGGCAGCTTTCAAGCTAGCAGATGGAAAGAAGCTCTGAGGAGCTGTACAAAATGAAAGACTTTTATGGGTAGAAGGGATTGGGAACAAAGAAGTTCTACTAGGCGAGAAAAGCGGGTTGGTTATTGCATGCTACTTTCCCTTAGGGGTGGCTGGGATCTCTCAGGCAGACAACCTAACTAGTGCTGATCAGGCATTTCCTGACTGGCTCGTTTACAATTCCATTTCTGGAAGAGCTGAAACTATAATTAAGTCTTGGTTTGGTGACACAGGGCTTAGTGTAAGTGACTCCATTTTGGGCCTGTTGTCTTGTTTTAAACAATTCCTCTCTTTGGATCAGACTCTCAGCCTAACTGAGAGATATGATCAAAATTTAAGGCATGAGCACTATTCCCAGCTACCACTCTGGAGTTCTTGCAGTTTTTTGCTGAATCTCTGTGTGGTATTCACAGGTCACAGCATTCGGTTCATATTCTTTAAGTCCTTCATTTTCTTTGTTCCTTTTCTGATGTTCTAATCTTAGGGAGATCATTTGCTTGGTGGTTAGTGGCTGCGAACATGCATTTATAGCTTTTGAAAGAACACAGCACACCAGGGAGACTACCATGATTATTATAAGCAGCATAATTCCCAAATGTCTGGAATGCACTTCGGAGCCATGGTCCCCAAGACCCAAACCGATCAGAATCAAATAAGTCAAAGAAAGACCCCAGTGAAGGAGTCACTTTCTTAAGCCAACAGGCTTGCTCAGTGATCTTGTGTAGCTGAGTCTCAACTTCCCCAGAAATGTCAATCCAAGTGCAGCAAGTGGTGTTGGCCATAGAACACCTTTCTCAGCTAAAAGATAATCAAGGGCTGTCCTACTATCAAGAACAACTTTGGCCAGAGAGTCTAGTGATTTTCTTGGGCAGCTATTGCTTTAGCAGTAGATTCTACAATATTTTAAAGAGGTAAGGAGAAGTTCCTGATCATAGCCTCATTTGCACTTACTCCTAGTGGGAATAGTAGGGGTCTGCCAAAGGAAGCTAATATTGAAGTATGAATGCTTCCAGGTAATTCCTGTTTGAGTCTATGGTGCAGGACTGCAAAGGTGACAGCCATGGAAGCCACTAAAATTCAAGGGTCTGTAGACTGCACAGGTGGTTTTATTCTGGTTATCCTTGCCTTGTGTCCCTTTCTTTGTATAGAATCTGGATGCAAGGTTCTCCAGGTTTGGGGTTGTTAATCAGAGACAAGGAAATGGACTTCCAGGGTTAGGGAGCCTGACACAATAGAGAGAGGGCTGAGTTTGTTCCAGAGAAACTGAGGCATTGGAAATCAGGGAGAAGTTTGTGGAAAGCAGAACTATAGGATCATGAGCATCATATGAGCATCATGGCAAATCCAACAGTTGTTTGGAGGTTAGATTACTCCCCCTTGCAATGGCCTGAGATATATGAACAATGAAATTATCTGTCTAGGCAAGAGCAAGATAAAAGGTGAACAAAAGAACCAGAAAGACCTTAATGGTGTAAGAATTAGGAAATGGATGGTCAGAGAGGGAAGGAGGAATGGAAAGAAATATTCTTGATCCAGCGTCTTGGGAGGAAGACTCTACTTCGATGTCAGCTACTTGTCTTCCTAGTTTATTTGATTTTGAGGTCTCCAGCATTTGCACAAAGTCAGATGTCAGGTGGAACCTTCTTCAGTTGTGAAATATGCACTCAAGTTTTGACACCTTGTGGTTTGGCAGCAGTGTCCATGATCAAGAGTGATTGGGTGGGTTGTTTCCAGGAATCTCACTTTTGCAAAAGCATCAGAGTAAAACAACAACTGTTTGTAAATGTTTAACTCATGGTTAAAGATCTGATGAGAGTTCATTATAGTGGAATTGACAGGGAAGTTTTGTTATTTCTGTGACATGCCACATTTTAAGATAATAACTGGAATTATGACTGATAACATTATATCAGGACATATTAGATTTTTAGGAATTTCATACAATTTCAAGAATACTTATATTCCTAACATGCATCCATGCAAACATAACCTAAGAACATTTATCATCACTTATTTGACCATGCTTTCCATGTAATTTAACAAACCAAATAAATCTAATTAGTTTAACATCAATCTTTTACAAGATGAGAGACAAAATCTTTGATATTTTCCACAGGCCCTCTGGGAAATCTCAAAGTTGGTTTAAGGTCAAAAAGACTCCATTTAGAATTTGATTTTGAGAAAATGTCAAAAGGTTTCAACATTTGCTTAATCAGGATCACAGATCATTGTGAAATAATACTTAGTTATCTATTTAACTAAAGTGACAGTAGAAGATGTTAAAGGCAAACACGAAAGGTTACATAGTTGTGAGCAAAACTTAGTTCCTTTAGTAGTGAGAAGACTGGCTTTTCTTAAGTAATCAAAGACCTGATAAGGACAACATGAAACACAGTAACTTATTTTGGTAAGACACAAAATCTTTGCTGTCCAGGCAGATTACTAAAAGGTAAATAAAAATCTTTAGTTACAATTTCATCTTAAGAACAGACCAATAATCTAAGAAAACTTTGTCCTTTTAACAGACAGGAAACCAAATTCTGATTTGCACCAGTGTGCTTGTGATATTAAAATTCATCCTTTAAAAACTTAAATTCATCCCAATCTTAGTCAGCTTGACCACACATCAAATTTCTTTCCCAGCATTTCTTTCACAGAAACTTTCTGTAACTCTCTTACATCCATTCAGATTTTCTCCTAAGTTTTTTCTTCTTTCTCATTCTGGAACAAGCAATCATTTTACTTGCCTTACGTACTTTTCATTCACAGTCATTTCTTTTCACTATTACTATTTCTAAGTAATTTTAATTACACATATTGATAAGAATTTTTAGCCCTTAGAATCCTTAATTCCTAGTGAAAACTAAGAAGTAAGTAATTGTGAACTGTTTGTTACACTAGCATTCTGTGGATTGGCAAATTTATAAATACATTGTATAATTTCTAGAAGTATATTCTTTCTCACAGTAAATTTTCCAGTGTGACACAATACTTGATTACTAATAGATCCTAATATCTTTAATTCCTTTGTAAAGGGAAGCCAAAAGTGGGTAATCCTGTGTTCAGTAATTAACATTTCAGTATTTTATCTTATTTGGAAATGATCTGGATAGTCAATGAATAGCCATTGTTTAACTTACCTCCATATAACTTTAAGATTTCAAATTGCCAAAAAGATTTTCAAAACTATTTTTAAGTAGATATGCCATAAAGCATAATTATTATTGAAATGTTCACTTATAAACTTTTGTCCTACTTACATCTATTAAATTTACTTGTTGTTAACAGTTATGTTTAGCTTACTCATGAAAGTTTTACAAGGCATTAAACCGCTCGCCATCATCTTAAGGTATCTTTCTTGCTGACAATTTCTGTAACAGAGATGACAGGAGCTTATTTGAATTTTAGTAAACCTAGATAGGATAAAAGCACTATGTTTAATGCTAATAACTCTAAAGACCTGTCTTTTTAAATAAACCAACAAACTTAAACTAGCTTTTATTTACCAAAGATTATCCTAAATCACGTGAACTTGAAAAAATTCGGATTAGCTTCTTTATTTCTGAGAGTGTACTTGGTTTATATAAACACGTGTTTGTCTTTAAACCAATTACGTAGAGCTCTTTACAAACTAATTTTGGCATTGTCATCTGGAGGCAAGAAAAAAATCACACTTTTAAAGCATACATACATAGTTATACATAAACATACGGACAGATGCAAACAGAGATCTTACAGCTCTCATTTAAAAATTTTAGCCATGAAACAGGTATGATAATGCAAAACTCACTAGTTTCTAAAGAACAGTTGGATCCAAATTGGTTTCTGGCAGATGGCGTAAGTTAAGGTTACCTTCTCAGAAATGGCTTAAACTTTTTACTATTTGCGGAAGAGACTTTTAAGGTTTTTCACAGGCCAAGTTTTCAAAATAGCCTCTTTTTTCCTCCTTTTGATAGGAACTACCTTGGTTCCTGGAGAAGACCAGGTGGAATACTTACACCTCGAAAGGCACAGAGAAAGAATGCAAGTTCCACCAAGAAGGACTTTTGTTTCCTAAATCCAGATCTTTTACAACATCTGCAAGCCTTTCGAGATGAATAAGGAGGTTTGGGGATTAGTGAAAGGATGGATGGGCTTTGAATTGTTTCTAGAACTACATTTCTGTTCTTTTAAAGACCAGATTTGTAAGACAAACACAGTTGTTTTTAATTACTCAAAGAATTGGGTTGCAATCTGAATGATATCAGAGGCCGACCCACCCATCCAACTACATTGTCTTCAATTTGCCTCTTTATATCAGGGAGAAGATCTTCAACTAAGATGGAAATCAAGATTCCTATGTTCTAGATTTAGAGCTGTGTGTCTTTGTAATGTTTTAGTAAATCCTTCTATAAAGGCTTCAGAACGTTTTTCTTTCCCTCTAGCTACATAGGTATATTTTAGCTTAAGGGACAGGCCAAAAACAAAAAATTCCTATCAAGCTCTGAATATCAGCTTGCAATCTGGCCAACTTCTGACCATAGAGCTACTTAGAAAAAAAAAATCCTTTCAAATATCTTGTCAGTTTTCAGCTAGAATAAACAGTAAATATTCCTGGCAGTATTGAATGACCCCACGGATGCAAGAGGCATCCGCAAAGAGGATGCAAAAGATGCTACCCTTCCAAGATCCAGAGCTACTCCCGCACATAACCAAAAGAAAGACAGACTTAGATAGTTCCCCTGAGAACTGGCAGAGGTCGATAGGACCCTCGCCACAAATGGAGTGCAGCCCATATTTCTGTGTAGCCATATTTTTTGGGCCCCCAACCTGATGGTTGCCCAGCCAAGTTCTTAGGACACAAAAAGAGACAAACGAAGGCAATAGCCGTCCCTGGGAGAGAAAAGATCGATAACCAGTGGGTACCCGAAAGCAAATTTACGAGCCGCAATTCAAGATCTAACTCTTAGAATTGTTTTTTCCTGCCAATCTGTATTTGGAAAGGAAGGGACAACATGAAATTTTACCTTCCTCACTCAACCAGGCAACATAGTTAGAGATCTGAAAGAGCTCACATTGGTGAGAATTCTCACTCTTTGGCAACTTCTGCTGGTTCTCCCAGGATCCCGTCTGCAGATGCTGGAGTGAGTAAGGTGTCCCAGCAGGTGTCATCCTGGTCACCAGAAACTCTGCAGAAGGAAAAATAATTTTCCTTCTACCCATTATGGTGAGTGCCCAGCTGAGACCCCTTTATCTCTAGGACACCTCATAAATGGATACACTTATCTGGGTTATAGCTTCACTGTGGCCGCTGTCATTTGAGAATATCTTTGGTAAGGTTAACCTGCTTGTTCAACCTTAAAACAAAGTTTTATTCACCTGAGGCCTCACGCTAGCCTAGTTTAGCTTAAGTCAGACCCATTCCAATCCCAGACCTGGTCTGGTTTCTAAGTCAGAACTAGTCTGACCCCAGACTCAGCCTAGTTTCTAAATCAAAACCAGTCTGACCCTGGACGCCGTCCAGTTTTTAAGTTGGAACCAGTCTGACCCTGGACCCAGTCCTACTCTGGCAAGTTTCTGGACCCAGTCTGGCAAAAGAATCCTCAAATAAAGTCTTAAAGCTCGTATTGAAAGATTATAGAGCTAAGAACCGACAGGGACTTAACCATGACCTCCAGAAGCAGCAAGAAAGCAGCCAGATCAAGGGACTCAGCAGGTACGTGCACCTGGCTGCTCGTTGCTCCTGGGGGCTGTCAGGGGTCTCTTTTGGTTCCCTCTTTTGATACCAGACCTATTAAAAGATAAACGGAGGCATACTAAAAATTTTAAGAGTTTATTTGAGCAAAAATTGATCTGAATTGGGCAGCGTCCAGTCTAGCAGATAGAAAGAAGCTCTAAGGGGCCGTACAAAATGGAAGACTTTTATATAGCAGAAGGGAACAGGAACAAGGAAGTTACGCTGAACAAAAAAGCCAGTTGGTTATTGCAATGTCACTTTCCTCTAGGTGATGGCAGGGGTCTGTCAGGTAGATGACCTAACTAGTGCTGATCCGATGATTCCTGATGGACTGGTTTAAGATTCCATTTCTGGGAGAGAAAAAACTGTAATTAAGCCTTGGTTTGGCGACAAGGCACTTAGTATAGGCGACTTCATTTTGGGCCTGTTGTTTTTGACAATATGTTGTATTAACATCTATATATATCTTTTTGATTGGCAAATACCTTTAACCTATTTTCTATCACTTAATCATCATGACGATCCAATGAAGATGGTATTGTCAATTGTTATTAACTTTATAAATTATTGATGTTATCATTAATAATTAACGATAATAAGTGAGATAAGGTGTGTAATGCACTTAGCACTGAGTTTTCTGCTTAGAAAAGACATGCAATAAGTCAGCTATTGTGATTTTTAAAGTCTTCACCCTTACCTTTAGAGACAAGGAGGCTCAGAGATATTAAGGAACTTGCCCAAGGTTTATACAGCTAGTCAGAGTAGGGTGGGGATTGAAATTTCATGTCAGTTTTCTCTGGAACACACCCTCCACAACAGCTGAATATCATGGCCTTGCTCCAGGTCATGTCCTCATAGAGTGCCCAGTCTGCTACTTGCTGGCTCTGTGACCTTGGGCAAGGCCATGTTATTTAAGCTTTTCTATCAAACTATGTCACTGCCAATGAAATCACAGACCACAAAATCAAGGGTCTGAGCTTAAGGCTTGGGCTTGATAACAAATTTCCAGGCCCATACAATTCTTCGCCTCTTCCTGGTGAACTAGAGAGAGGACACAGCTTCCCTCCCACAAATAGCAGCAAAGTGGTTTTATTTAGACTTAGAAATTTATACACTTGAGCTATTTTACTAGAAGTATTTTTCTGCTAGAATTAATTTGTTACAAGGTAGGTCCCATTTGGAGAGATATTTAAAATATTAGCAACAAACTAATAATATAGGATTTTCCCAAATGTTCTCTCACATCTGTGAGCTCATTATAATTCGACCCCTCCACTTCTCAACCCAGCACCATGAGCTATGCCTGCATCCGCATGTTTCTGTGAGCAAAGATGTGCCTTCAAATACTTCCTTCTAAGCATATTTTCATACGAGAGCGCTCACCTTGCTAGATGGTGAGGTGGTCTGAAGATGCTCTTTCGGGCGCCTGAGCCAACATGGCTGGGAACACCAGGTTATGTTTCACTTTCAATTTCCTCCTTTGCAAGAGGAGGATTTCAGTAATAAAATGCAGCTGAAATTGGTCTGTGACTGAATCAGCATCCTGAGAAACAGGATGGTAATGAGGTGGAAAGAAAAGAGGTGGGAGAAGGGATGGATGGTGGGAAACATTCTCCCTCTGAAAAAATAGTTGACAGGGAAATCCTGCGATGGGTATCTCACTGGTGATTGGAATGCGACTCCTGTTAAGCATTTGTTTAATACTGATCCTTTTGGGGGGGGGGGGGGTACTTTTTCTATTTTGCTAAACTGTAAAATCCCTCTCTTGCCCACTTTCTGGATCATTGGTTTTGATATTTATGCATATTTTAACATAGAATTTGTGATAATTGTTTCCTTTATTCAAGTAATAATGTTAGAACGACAAACACTGCCTGAAATGGACAAGGTGTTTCTTCGCCGACTGCGTGGTGGGAGTGATTCAGCTGAGTCTGTTATTCCTACGAGGGCTAACCTGCGGTCCTTCCTACCTTATCGTCTCCAGGTATATCATCTAGACCAGAAGCTGCGAAGCAAAGGGCTGAGGCCAAATAAGCCTCATGGACATGTTTTATTTGGCTCACACAATTGAAAAAAATATATTTTTTTTAATAATTGGCAACTTTAAAACAAATCGGGAGCGTTTGTGTAAAAATCCTTATTTCCACCATCTTTTGAAAAATCCAGGGCTCTGCACACAGGGCCCACGATTGCTCATAGTGACAGGAGGTACTGGTCATATAGCTGTCCTTTTAGGAGGGGCATATTCCCTCCAGGGTGCCATGGTCCCCACCTCTTCCTGGTGTCTTGAAAACAGCTTGGCCACTGTGGGCATTTGAGATTACAGTCCTAGAAGTTTTGTCGATGGCTGCCACCTCTCCCCTCCGCACGCTGCCCAAATGCCACCACTTCTCGATGTTTATTACAAGAACTCACAATGATACATTGTTATTTGAGAGAAGGTATACATGGTCAGCCCACACTTGGGCATGTGTATATTAATTTGTTTCTGTGGTGAGGCGTCCACAGTGCACTTTGTGGCCATGCACTCTCTCCCCGCCCCCAACCCCAGCAAGTCATACAGAGGGCAGAGCACCAGCTTTGATGTGAGGCAGACCTAGCTTCCCGTTCTGGTTGTGCCATTCACTAATCATGTGATGCTGGGCAAGACATTTAATCCAGTCCCCAGTATCCTCCTCTATAAAATGAGGATGCTGTGAGGGTAGAATGAGCAATGCCTGTTTGCACAGACCTGACCCACTTTCACACCAAACACATGTTCCCTGCTTCTTCTGTTCCCCCTTCAAGCCGGTAACTGGATTGAGTTGGCCAACTCTCTTACCAAACTGAGAGCCAAATGGGTCAAAACGGTTGCCAGAAAACGCAGAGAACCCTCCATGTGGAGAAGTGGTGTGATGTGGGACTTCATTTAATACAGAAAGCCCTTTCTGGAGCAGCCTGGGCATTCCAAAGGTTCCAGTACCCCCAAGTCGGCAGGTATAATGTCTCAAGGTTGCATCGTCCCTTGGGATGGACTCTGCATGTTCTTTGTCATAGTAGTTGTCGCTGAACTGCAGCTATTTTAAAAGGTAGGATGGAGACTGTGAATTTGAGATCAGATTTCAGAGTGGAGCCCAAAGGCTTCCAGTTAAGTGTGAACGTTGTATGAGAAATAACAATAGGGAGTGAGATACGCGGAAAGTGTTATACATGAATTTACATTCAATAAAAAAACCCCTCTAGCTATAATTATCACATTTTTGCTAATATTGAGATTCTAGATGTCAGATTTAATATTTGAGTAAACTAATTAAAGAATTTTTTTCCTAGCCTTGACAAACAATCTTTTGTATTGAAAGTTTTCAAATGTATTTTTTGGGGGGGCTGAAACTGACTGATCCACAGGAACAGCACTTTTGGGGGAAAACCCCAGGAACATCTTTCGTCTTTGCTTTTTCTTTTCTCCATCCGTCTCCTTCTCCCCCTTTCCCAGCTCTGTTTTGTGTTCTTTTGTTAAGGGCACTATTTTCAGACAGTGTTAATGTGTCTTTTTTATGCATTTGCGATATAGTTCTAGGTGGAATTGCCTCTTAAGATTTCCTCTTTGGCTGTGGCACATTCAGACTCAAATTGTTGTGCTCAGTAGGGCCATTGTCACATTATAACAGGGAAAATGCTTCATCATGTGTTATAGAACAAGATGGAATCTTCGCTAAGGAGCTCAGGGATCAAAGTGGAGGAAAAAGATTAATTTTTATGCATCAAGTCATTATAGAGGGAGAAGTAGACATTAAGATTGCCAGGGAGATTTTTCTCATCTAATATCGACACAGAGGATGTGTTGGGAGGATCACTGGCTCTGTTCTCAGATTTGTTTTTACATTTAAAGTGCACAGATCTAGGTCATAAGCTTGTTTACACATCTTTCAGGATTTATAAAGGGCCTCTCTTTTAAAAAGATATCGTTTTCCCAGGATTTAGGACATCTAAAAATATTTTGATTGTTTTGACTCCTTAAAAATGCATAGCTACATTTCAGGCAATTTTGAAGATAAAAGACAGAAAAAAGAAAAGGCAAAGAAATCACTCTTTACTATCCTAAGTCAGCAACTCTCGCGATGTTTCCTTTTTATCTTTTAAAAGATGCTGCCATTTAACACGGTTGCAAACTTAACGTACCTGATTTTGTATACCATTTCTTTTGTTCGCCTACTATTATACTGTATGTGATTTTCCACAGCCTTACAGAAATTCTCTCAAGCACATGTGCCCAGTTTATTAAGCTCCTCTGTTATTAGACATCTGAGTAAATTCCTTTCTGCACACCAGGATTTTGCTATATTTTGATTTATATTCTCAGAACAAATTCCCCAAAGTGGAATTTCTGGATCAAAGGTTATAAATATTAAGATTTTGATGCAAACTACAAAATTGCTTTCTAAAAGAATTGACTAGACCAGTTTTCACTTCAGCTGTAGAAGAATGCCCTTTCCCCACGTCACATGCCATTTTAGTTCGTGTGTACCTTCTGAACTTTTTTTATCGTTTTCATATTTTGTTTAAATTTCTTGATAAATCACAAAGCATCATATATGGTAGCAATTATTATTGCTACTAATAATTGCCCCCGATAAATAAATATTATTATTTTTATTTTTTTTTAAAGATTGGCACCTGGGCTAACAACTGTTGCCAATCTTTTTTTTTTTTTCCTGCTTTATCTTCCCAAACCCCCCATGTATACAGTTGTATATCTTAGTTGCAGGTCCTTCTAGTGGTGACATGTGGGACACCGCCTCAACATTGCCTGATGAGCGGTGCCATATCCGCGCCCAGGATCCAAACCCTGGGCCACCACAGTGGAGCACGCAAACTTAACCACTCGGCCACGGAGCCGGCCCCTAAATATTCTAATATTTAATGACAAAATGTTAGTTTGGCAGTGGTTAAGGGCAGCGTAGAGTGATGAAGAGCGTGGACTTGGGAGGCAGGCTGCCTGGGCTCCAAGCTCGGCTCTGACACTTGCCAACTGAGTGACCTTAGGCCAGCATTTCTCAACCTCAACATTATTGACATTTGGGACTGATACCTTTTTGCTGTGGGGAGCTGGCCTGTGCATCATGGGATGTTTAACAACATCCCTGGCCTCTACTCCTCCTCCTCCTTGTGTGACAAAAAAATGTCTCCCATCATTGCTAAGTGTTCCTTGGGGGCAATGCCTCCCCATCTTAAGCATCATCGCCTTAGGCCAATTACCAGACCTCTCAGTGCTCAGTGTCTGTGTGTGTGTAAAATGCAGATAAAAATAAGACTCACCTGAAGGAGGTATTGGGCAGGCTAAGCAGGCTTGTTCCTGTAGAGCATGGAGAGGAGGGGCTGCCACACGCCAGGTACTTGGGTAATATAGCTATTATTAATATCGAATTCCTAACGACTGCTTTTAAGCAAAATGCTTATTATTTTTACTATAAAAATAATTGCATATAATTTGAAAAATTTAGAAAAGTACATGATTTTGTGTACTGTTTGTTCACCTAATATTATACTATACATATATACATGTATATACTATATACTATACTATACTATACAGAAGTATATACTATACAGAAGCTAATAAGGGTCTCCTACAACCCTAACAGCCAGGGACAACCCTATTAACACTAAGGTGTATTTTCTTCTTATGCACCTAAAAGAGTTCCAGGCATGTATGAAGTTTTGCATCCTGCTTTTCTCCCTTACCGCTGCATCGTGACTATGTGTTTGGAAATTCTTTGAAAAGGTGTCTATGAGTCTTCTCTAATTTAAATAACCATCATATAATTTGGGGCATGTACATGTTAGTTTTTCTGTAGATAGTATTTTCTAACTTTTTATTATGAAAAACTTTAAACGTATACAGAAGTTGAAAGAAGAGTACAACGCACCCCCATATTTTAAGTGTTTTTTAAACATTGTGCCATATCTTCTCTTTTTTTGTGTGTGTTCCTGTGCACATATCTCTTGGATATAGATACGTATATTGAGGGTTTTTTACTGTTTTGTGGGACCACTTAAAGAAAATTGCAAACGTCATGACATTTCAGTCTCATAGACTTCAGCATGCCTCTAAGAATAAAGACACTCTCCTCCGTAACCACAATACATTTATCACACCTAAGCAAATTAGCAGTAATTCCCTAATACCATGTAATATCTAGTCCGTATTCAAATTTCCTGAGTGTCCCTGAAGAGTCTTCATAGCTACCTTTCTCCCCCCGGAACCCCATGGAGGTTTACACGCTGCATTTGGTTGTTGTGACTCTTTTCTCTTTCACTCCAGCATAGGACAGTTGCCTTTTGCGGTTTTATCAATGACTTTTTGAAGATACCAGGCCAGTTGTTTTATAGAATGTTCCATCTGCTGGGCTTGTCTGATTGTTCCCTTGTCATATCATTTACCTTGTTCCTCCAGTCTCTGGATTTCCTGTAAACTGGAAGTTTAAAGTCTTGGATTTGATTTAGGTAAAAAATTTTGGAAGGACAATTCCTAGATGAGTGCGTCATCAGGAGGCTGTAACATCAGGCTGGCCCATGATCAGTGATGGGAAGGTTAATGACTTGGGCAAGGTGGTGACCACTAGATTTCTTTACTTAGAGCTTTGTTTTTCCCCTCGCAATTCGTACGCAGTCATAGGGTGCTGCTTTGATGTCGTATGACTGTCCTAGTCCCCAACAATTTTTACAATTTTTCACCTAAAGGTTTTTAGCAACCTTGCCTAAATTAATTGTTTTATTGGGAGAGTCAAATGGTGGTTTTCTAATTCTGTTATTTCACCTACACTTAATAGCTACTATTCTTCTAGAAAGGAGTTTTCTGTCTCCAAATGCAGAGTAAATATTTACTTCTTATATTCTAAGAACTACTTTAAAAAGTGAGATAAATGAGTTTTGTTTTTCTCTCTTTCCTTTATTTGACTATTTTTTCAGTGTCGTCATGGACTCATGGATTTTTCTTGAGTGTTTTACAATCAACTATAATAACTTTCTGATGCGCAGGTCGTCTACTGGGCACCCCTCCAGGCTGGCTTCCGTGTCTTTTGGGATCCCGCTGGTCGTCTTTGGGTTTCCTTGCTTTTGGGGTTCCGTGTATTCCGAATTACTTTTACATTTCCTGCCTCAGCTCTGGAGTCAGCAGTTTCTCCAAGGAGCCTTGGTTCCTTTCAGTTGTGAACAATATAAGTATTCTTTTGATGAATACTTTTGTAGATAAGATTTTTACCAAAATCTCCAGATTTAAAATTATTTTGATAAGGACTGTGAACTTTGTCATGACTTTAATATACTTGTCAAATTGCTGTACAGAAAGGTAGTAATAATACACATTCCCACTAATGTTTGAGTTTCTATCTCACTGCATTCCCATTGACATTAACTTTTTAATATGATAAGTAAATCTCTTTATTACAAGTAAAATGGACTAGCTCAGTTTTATGGATGTTTATAAGTTTATTAGTTCTCATGTATTTTGCTCTTTTTCTATTTTGGTAATTATCTGAAAACTGAAAAAAATACATCAAAGACTTTAATCCTCTATCTACTCTGCTCGTTGGAAATAATTTTTCTATTGTGTTTTTTTGACTATCAGGCAGTTTTAATTTTTAAGTGGTCAAATCTGTTTACCTTTTCCTTGTGATTTCATCCATTTCTCTAGTGCTTAGGCATTCCTTGCCAGATTTAAGAAAAGTTAAATACTTCTATATATTTTCTTCCCATTGAAAAATATTAAAATAGGGGCTGGCCCAGTGGCAGAGTGGTTAAGCTCACACATTCTGCTTTGGTGGCCCAGGGTTTGTGGGTTTGGATCCTGGGTGTGGACCTAGCACTGCTTATCAAGCCATGCTGTGGCAGCATCCCACATATAAAATGGAGGAAGATTGGCACAGATGTTAGCTCAGGTCCAATCTTCCTCACCAAAAAAAAATAAATAAATAAAGTAAAACTAAGTTTTTAATGTTTACGCTTACTTTTCACAGCAGGAGGAATGTATTTAGAGCTATAGTTTGAGGTGAGGAGCTAACAATCTTTTTTCCCCAGAGCTGGTTTTTCTCATACCACAGGAGTGATAATACATCACTTTATCACTGGTGTGTGACTGTTTCTTCGTCATATATGTAGTTCAATATATATATAGATATGTTAATATATATCAGTTCATATTTATCTGTCAATATTTGTACCAGTACCATACTGTTTTAACTATTGAAACTTTTAAGTACATTTTAAAATACAAGGCTTTGTTTTTCTCTCAATTCTTCTTTTATATTTTGTTTCAAGATGAACTTTAGAATAATTTTGTCATTTTCAGAAAAGTTCATTGCACATGTTCATTGAAGTTCATTGAAACTATTTCTCATTTTCTAGATAGGACTTTGGGGTTTCGCAAGAACACTAAACGTTGCTTTGGGGTGAGGTAATATACATAGTAACATGAAAGCATTTGCAGCTGTGATGGGCCTCTGGGAGGCAGCATGGTCAATGTTGGTTGGGCTCAGTAACATTTAGGTCTTAAAAGACTCTCAATGTAAAGACAAATGTCACCTTTTCATGGCTTAAAAATATCAGCGTGGTTATCGCGACCATAGTTTTTAATCCAGAAATTCAAATATGTGGCCTGATAAGGGAACTAATGTTATGAATTTGAGCTGCCCTGGAACCTTTGAGGTCTGTAGTACTATTGGTCATGCAGCCACTAGATTCAGACATTCCGTTTGGGGTTATGCGTTCCCATCCATGTAGTGTTTGCTTTCCTTTTAATAACATAGGTTAAACTGTCCAAGATATAGCTTCACGGAGACAGCCATCATGGGCTAAGTCTATGAATATCAAGTTTTGTAGTAGCACAGATCTTACAGTATAATCCAGTGGTGAAAAGCATGTTCTTTAGCATCAGACAGATGTTGGTTTGGATCTTTACCCTGCCTCTTCCCAGCAGCGTGACCTTGGATAACAGCAGAATATCTGCCTCATAGAATTGAGAAGCTTAAACGAGATGCAGTGTGTAAACTACTCAGCAATACCTGGAACATAGTATATGCTTAGTCACATCAGCTGTATTATCGCTATCACCAATACTGTTAGTTCAGCTGCGATTGCCTATTTTTTTGCTTATCGTTCATGATCAAGAGGACTGAGAGCTCCTCGTGGATTTGTTGTTGTGTTTCCATATGGAATCTCAGTTATAGTCAGCTCGAAGATTGTGCTGACTGCTTTATAGCCCTCATAGGTGATGTGTTTTTCTGTAACAAGGAGTCGATGCCAACTACCAGTGCCCTCTAGGGGAAGAAGTGCAATGCCCATAAAAGAGCCAAAGGAGGGCAAAGTGACATTGTTTCTGTTCTAAGACAAAAGCAATTAAAAACGAAAACAAGAATGCCATCCGTTCTTAGGCTCTCCTGAGAAGGCGCACTTTCAGTCTAGGACTAGGCGTAGCTGAAGTCAAAGTATTAACTTACATATTTGCCTATTATAAGTAGTGTGCCTCATGCTCTTTTCTCGGCATTAAAAGATAATACTTCTATTCTTGCTCTTAAAAGGAAGTTAGGTCTGATTACCATCCTGACAACACAGACTTTGCAACAGAG